ATTGAACATGATTGAACTGAACCTGAACCTGAACTTGACCAAAGTTCGGTTTCAGTTCGGTTCATAGGAACACTATCACTAGATATTGCAATGGCTTAAAACTGTGTTTGGAAGACCCTGACATTTCTGATGAGCTAAAATAACATTGGAAAGAACCTATTAATAGCCAGATATGATTTTTTTTTTACTTTATATAATAGTGTTGCTTCCTTGTAAGGCTATTTTAGGAACTAATATATGTATTTAGAGGGTAATACACGTAATTAGAGGATACTTTTTTTGCTATTTTTTCATTGAACCTATATCTTAGCTAAGCTTCATAATGAAAAACTTTAATTTACAAACATGTGACTATACAGACCCATGGGTCGGTAAAATCATGTGATATTGGAGCTTCATAACAAATTTTAGAAAATTTGGTAAAATAAAATAAGTCATTTCAAAAAAAAACTGAGTTTAGTTATTATAAGGATTACCTAAAAATTGTTCCATAATTTTGGGCTGGATTATGATATTTATTGGTCAAAATTTAATACTAACTGGATTAAGCAATTAATTAATACTGTTAAACTATTACTTTTATAGCATTTAATACTGGTAGAATTAATTTTGGCAGAATTGATTTGTAACTCTGGTAAACATAATTTTGGCAGAATTGATTCGTAACTAGGGTTGTCAAATTACTGTAATTTTATGTAATTTTTCAGTAACAACTGCTGAAGAAAGGTTGCAATTAAAGCTTATAGTGAAAAGAACCAGTAAGAAAGTCTCTGCTAAAAATATCGCAAATATTTAAAGACCAAAACTTCAAAGCATCATTTACATCATTTCACTGACATTTTTTTCACTATTATCTGGTAAAATATTATAATATCTAATGTATCTTGTATGGATTTTTTTTAATACTAATAAGAAACTTTCATCTAAATAAAAGTCTCTCAACATTATTTCCAATGTTGCGACTCTATCTTCTATAGTGGCACCAGTTAGTAGCTCACATGGATTATCAACTAAAGAAATCCCAGCTCTAGAAATATATCTTTTGCCTAATCAGCTTATATAATTTTTGCAAAGATTCCAACAATACATATTTTTTTGTACAATTCCCCTATATATACATAAAATTATTATTAATAAAAATTTTATTGAATATTAGAATATTAACGATGATCTTACCAAGAAGATAGCCTTGAAGATCCAAAAAGTAGAATATATATTGTGCCCAATGTACTAAAAAGACCTCCCAAGCTTGAAATAACAGAACCAACTATATTTATGATTTTTTTTCAAAGTTAAATAAAAAAAAGAATATCAAAATAATTACAAAATATACTTACTACTATGAAGTGAAATATAATCTTCATAATATATATATTCATTTTTTGGTTTCAATGCCAAAATAGTATATGCAGAATTTGAAGTTTGATGAAGGACTTTTGCTTCAATGCCAACAGATGCTGTTGTAAAATCAGGATCAATCCCAAATAATTTAGACAACAAGAAATTGTGCACTTTTTTTATTTTAATAGAAAAGTCAATTAAAACAAAATAACCTTTATTAATTGGGTAAAAGTTAAATTCCAATTGTGGTGGAATAAAGCCTAATGATAATTTTTCTTTAGTACTCCATGGATGTGTTCATCCACTTGCTTCTGAAAAGACATAATTAAAGACAATTGTAAAATAGCCTTCTGAATTTGAATTATTTGAAGTAATATTTATAAGAATATTTTGAAATTCAAAATTATATAAAAAAAATGAATTATCATTTTTCTACAATATGGTTCTTTGGTATTAATTTTATCCCAGTCAGAAAAAATGTTAAATGGTGAAAAAGCCCAGCACTGCTATAATCATTCCAATTAATATGTTCATTGCATGAAACAGTCTTATAAGCTATATAAGTTGTACATATAACATTAGGTATGTCAAACAGTGATCCAAATATAAACCTTTCAGAATTAGTGTCATCTGTTATATTTTTTTGGGAGAATAGTATTGAAAAAATTTTTCAAGTAAAAGATAATTATTAAGACAAAGAATACTCATAATACTTGTAAAGAATAATATAAAGTCTAGAAATTAAGCATATATGCAATATTCGTAAATTTTATGGAATAATTTATTAAGAATATGTGGAAAAACTTAACACGTACATACCTGGAAAAATAATATACTGTGGCTGTTTAACAGAAACAGTTAAGTCTCAAGAATCATCTTGCCATATTTGTTGAAATAAAAAAATGACATAGGATAAAAACACAATAAAAAAAACTATTTTCAAGATTATTCTAAATGATTGAAAACAAAATAGTTTTACTGAGCAAGCTGACTTTAATAAATTAAAAGAATCCAAAACTAACATTGTTTTATTTTTCAATTACATTAAAAAAATTAGATGATTTTAGTTATGGATTACAAGTTCCGTAAGCAAATTTGATTAAAGGTGCAAAATTACACAATTGTAGTACATCAAGTAAATGCCCAGTGTTTTTTTAACTTCCTACATTACACCTTCACACTGAATATGAATATAGAAATGCAGGTTGTAGACAAACTACGTTTTTGATATTTTTATTAAAAATATATTGAAACTGTAATTTGGCTTTCAGAAAATTAATATGCATCAAAATTTATTTATTTTTTTTATAAATAAACATATTTAGATATATGACTCAAAATCCCAATTTGTGTTAAAAATTTAATCCTTTATTGAAATTATTATTATAGTATTATTATACTAAAAGGCATTAACTATAGTCAATATCTTGCAACTTAAGAGCTTGCTTATTAATAATTACACATATAGTTATACATATGTTTATTATTGTAGAAGGAATGTTTTTATTTATTTTTTTAACAATTATTAACAATAAAAAAAGAATTATAAAAAAAAAAATTGTTAATATGAATGCAGATAAGCAAGGGTTTTATTTAAATTTACTATACAGTATACTGTAAACTGAACTAATCCTAATAGTTAATATACTTTGATTTAACATCACATAAGGTCCAGGTGGTTTTGTATTTACTCAGAAAGGTAGATGGATAACAATAATCATTGATATTATTGTCTACTTTATTATTAACATTATATATATACATATATATGTAGGCATTAATTATCCTTTTCATTATTTGCTTAAGATTTTATGGAATAATACTTAGCTAATTTTAAATTTTTTAAACTATTTTCAAAAACAAAGTCAATACATTTATTTTCTTGTCAGTCGCTCTTTATTTCAGAGTATCTATTTATATCATTTTGTCTATATATAGTATAAACTTTTTTTTAACACTCAAATACATTGCTTGTATTGATATTCCTGCCTTTATAATGCTACATATCTATATATCATTTATACCATAGTAAATTTTGTTTTTTTTATGATTAAAAATTTTGACCTACATGCATATGTATTAATTGTAATATTTTATTCAAGTATTGATGATGATGCTTGTCCAGAAAATTTAGCATATAAGTCAAATTTTTATTTATTTATTTATTATTATTTTTTTTTTTTAAATGTCTGGCATTGGTATTAAATCTCAAATTCGTAAATTACAGACATTTATCAATTGTATAAAACATTAGTTATTTGTGCATATCTTAATTTTTATATTGCTGTTTTGTTCATCATCATATATCTTAAGTATATCAGCATATTAGGCTCTAGTTTTGTGAATTTGGATTTTATAATATCACCTTTGTTGCAAGTAATTAATATATTTATATTACTTAAAGAAGTAAGAATTAGTACATAACTGTTCAATGAAATTTGTTTTTTTAAAGATGTATTTTACAGCTAAATTAATTTTTTAAATTCTAGATTAGATTAGAATCAAATATATATATATATATACATTCTTTCTTTGTTATATTACAAATAGTATATTCAATATATTATGGATATAGTGAAACTAGAGAATTTTCAGATCGTTTCTTACTTATCCAGATCATTATTGATGCATTTTTAACTGTTTCTTATATTCTTCTGCTTGGTTTGTATACTTTAAAATAATCTTTATGCTTACCATTTTATCCTTTATTACTCTAAAATTTAATATATTTAATAGATGCATCCACTCTGATTGTTACAATATATACAATATTTATTTCTTATAAATACAAAAATCATTTTGGTAAAGGTTTGAAAGATTATCATAAGTTTTAAATTTGTTAATTATGTACTGAGTTTTATTTTTAAACCTAAACTCATTTACTATATTTATTCGCTTTTTAGTTCAATGTTCTTATTATAGCAATGATGTTTATAAATACAAAGATGATATTGATGAAAAATTTTATAACTTTAAAGATATATCAACAGATTTTTTTATTTAAAATAACTAGAACAAATTGACTTGTTATAATATGATTCTCCTGGTAATATTTGAAGATTTTGCTGAAAATTGTTTGTACGACTGAATAACAAACCAAAATTATGTTAAAGTTTGATTGTGTCAAGATAATTTATATCATGCAGTGCTGCATACAGTGCACCTTAAAAAATAATTTCCTTGAATAGTATCAATTGTATATTCGATTATAGATTCCAACATTTTTGAAAAATATCCCGGTACTATTAAAATAGCTCAAATTAAGGCCCTGTTATATGTACAATCAATTTATATGATTAATCTTCTCTTAGTATACCTCTTGCATAGTATCCCTTCTTATTATAGTATTATTTAATATATATTGCCATTTTTGAAAAATTTTGAGTACTGTTGTATACAATGCTAAACGGTAATCAATGCACTAAATAATTTTTAAACCCATGTTACATCTAATTTCCTGATGACCATTACTCTGACAGGCCATTACTAACATTACACAGTGATAATTTACACTTGCAATATAAAAATGCCAACTTTAACACTATGTGATGCCTGATAAATGGAATGTTGGAAATTGACTATTGGAAAAATGAAATGAGAAATAATGTAGCTTACGATATAACAAGATCTCGCAATGAAGCCTAATAAATAATAGAAACTTCCATCAAGCAATTTTAGATAAACAAAATAAAAATATATACAAAAATAATAATTATAAATACAGAAAAAAAATAAAATTTAAATTGATTAACGACTGCCTTTTTTATGTCCAAATAAATATCATTTAAATCTGTAAGTACAATTCCAAGCTTATTTGCAATATCATATACATCACACGAATATCTATTTACCTATTTACCATTCAAATATATCCTTTTCAAAGGGATCACTATAATACCTAAAACCCAGTTAGATATTAAAGCAAGAGCTTCTCTCAACTCACAGACAATTGCATGCCCTAAATTTAAAATATTTATATTTATTTAAGATGAAGAAAAACAAAATCAATATATATATATATATTTACTAATTTTTCTGCTATAATTCTTATATTGGGCACCAAAAGAAATTCTATATATACTCCCGTGTATATTAACTCCACAGTTCCCTGAGCACCTTTTAGTATAAAATAATAAAAAATGAGTAATATAGTAGAAAATTGCAACTTTTCTAAAACCGAGAAGAATGTTCAACAAAAAAAGTTGGCCACGAAGTGCTTTCAATTCTCAGTCTGTATGTATTCCTATTCACTATAAATTTAGAAGCGCTATAGCAGACATAGCTAAACATCAAAAACTAGAAGAATATTCAACAGCTGAAACTATTAGCAGCGAAAAGCTTTTATTCTAAATATTTTATATCGATAGTGGTAGTATAACTTCAGAACACAATATACATGCATTAACCCAATAAATAAACTCACCCTGTTTCTACATAACTAACACCTTTGCTTCTTAAACATACAACAGCTTTATCTTCTAACCATTTCTCCTTCTTATGCGACAATTCACTTCTAACTCTTTCTTCAACATATATGCACTCAATCTCTGTCTCACCTTCTGGGATAACAAAACCAACGTTAATAAAGACATTTTTTTTAAAGATAAAAAAACTACTAAAATAATAAATAATGCTCAAATGTCGGTTCTTTTTTTTTTCTTTGCATTATTTCATTAAATCAAGCATGAATAATTGCTAGAAAAAGGTGTAAATCTATAAGGTGTAAAATCTATTATATATAAACATGAGAAACCATATCTAAAATAGAAACACATTACACAATTGATTTACATTGTAATTTATATATTTTAAAGTACTTTTTCACAAGACTTGTTTAGCTTATATTCTCTATGAAATATGAAAAGTCTACTAAGCAAACTTGAAGTTTTCATGCCGAACTTTAATAATTTCAGCTGAATCTACCTGAATCCACTTATCTTTATATTCAATTTTCCTAGTAAGTGCCATATATAAAAATAATTTACTAATTTTACTAACTTTAAAGTTTATTAGACTTTTTTGAGATTTACAAATTAATATTGTTTAGTTTAAATAGATATCAATTTTAATTTTTAGTTGGGTAATATTGATATTAAATATAAAACATGTGAAGCAACTTATTAAAATGTTCATGACTCAAAATTTTACTACGAGACTACCTTTCTGCATATGAATTTTAGTTCATTCTCCGACGGTGACTAGAGGCCATCAGAAAATGAACTGAGTTCAATTATTTTAAGGATTACAAAAAATTTGTTCTATAATTTTAGCTGAATTTTGATGTTCATAGGCCAAAATTTAATATTGGCTAAATTAAACAATTAATACAGTTATACTGTTAAACTCTTATCAACTAATATAGCATTTAACTTTGGCAGACATAATAAGCAATTTTATAGCTAAAGGATCTAATAATATAAAAACAAATATAAACAGAGATATATCAAATACAATATATATATTCATATTTATTTTATTATAACAGGCCTAGACCTTGCCAATCCAGTTTATACCTAAACCAGGAGGGGCAAAATTTCCCACTCCATCCTTATTGTATGTCTTGTCTTTAGAAATAATAACATCTTCAAGGCTGTTTTGTGTTTGTTCACTGACTTTTTTTCCATTAATGTATAGGCGGGCCTCGGGGAAGATAGTACAAGAGAAAGCAACAGAAACCTGTTGATTGCAACAAACTGTTATATCAATATTACCATAAATAAATAGTGCATCATAGCTTAACAAAAAATATTGATATGCTCATTCAAGAGAAGCTATCTAGCTAAACCTAGCATCATGAATACCAACACAAGTATTATTGCTGTTTTTAGCATACTAAATCCTGTTATATGATAAATCTTTAGTGTAAATATCAGCAAATTGATAAATTGGCCATACTTGTGTATATCTATAGAGATTGCGGCTATTATCAGTAACTTTATCCAGTTGTTAAGTTGGATTGTGTTGATCAAGATAATTAGGATCACGAGAGTCAAACTTGATGAGATGACTGCTAGCATCACAGCTAATATCAAAACTGGGAATATGAATATATCCTCTGTACTCCTTCTTTACAACCCAAGAGGCAAAGTCCCACCATAATAATTCATATTTGAAAAGGAGTCAGAAGGGTTATTGTTTGCTGTTTCTGTCAATAAGTCACATGCTTGATCAATTTTTCAGCATGTTTCTGGATTCAATTAGCATGAGGTTTTTAACAACTTTAATCTTAACTGAGGAATACAATCTGTTAATCCACTTCTTCCTTTGATATAAGAGATAAAGAGAACGTTGGGTGTTTTAAATGTCATTGTGCCTTGTGATAATGCTCCTGTAATAAAAATGATAACCAAAATGATACTGATAGCTGCCTTCTGCCTGCCCAAACAAATTGGTATATTCATTTTCAGAAATGGATAGTTGTATTAGCCTTGCATCAAATTTGCAAAGCTGATAAAGTTATGTTCTAGGCATTAAATTATATGTGGAAAATCTTTATCGCACAAGCAGATCAGGTATCAGTTTTGTTGCATTATATATCACCATAGGTAATACACAGCTTCTCCATGCAATGTATACAATTAAGAACTTAAATTCAGAAAAGAAAAGCCAGAAAAATCATCAATTCCCACTTTTAGCAATATTAAATTACATACAGTAGCCAATAAAAGTAATATTTTTTTTATAGTAAAACATATAAAAAATTGAAATTTATATAAATGTAAAAATCAATATTCTTTTTATTTAAAAAAATTTTTTTTAATATAATAACTTTGTCATTGCAATTATATGTTTTCTTCTTTATATAAATAAAGAAGAAAGCATATAGTCATAAAGACTAAAATACTTATATCTC